GAGTGTATATGTATGTGTGTGAGGGAGAGATTGTATATGTGTGTGTGTGAGAGAGTGTGTGTATATGTGTATGAGGGGGAGAGAGAGAGACAGTGTGTGTGTATGTGTGTGAGACAGAGACAGAGAGAGTGTGCGTGAATGTGTGTGTGTGTGCGTGTGTGTGTGTGAGAGTGTGTGTGTGTGTGTGAGTATGTGTGGATATTTTCCCTGATCAACTTGTTCCAAGCTGTTATTACACCCCTCCGGATCAAGTGAGACATGGAACTGGGCCTTCTGGGTCAGAGGGAAGGACACTACCAAAGGAGCCCGCACAATGGCTGAGTGTGCAGGAACCTTCCTTTGCAATGCGACGTGCTCCCAGGCTTTATGCTTCAGTTCAGTACCTTCCTCCCACTAACCGCACCCAGGCCGAACAAATTGTGCAGTGCTTTGGGGAGATGGGAACACATGAACTCCAACTTAGTCGAAGCCGATTATGGCCTCAGGGGGTCTTCTGGCATGTTGTATGACTAATGATACAGAGAACTGGTCGTACCTTTGGGCTTGTACAAGAATCACTTTACCGCACAGCAAGCTCCCACAAACATCAGCAACATCAACGCAGAGAGCAGCTGGACCGGGAGCTGTCTGGGAGATAGCCGGGATAAATTCCCTGTGGAAAAGGCACAAAGCAGACGGGGACTGGGTTTGATGATTCCAACTCGCAGTCGTGCAGGGGCCAGGGGTACACAGCGTTGGTCTGGGCTTTGACAGCCCAAAGTGGGATTGAATTTCCATTTTCCTTCCTCAGTCCGGCCCGAATGGCTGAGGACTGGGCTGGTTCTGGGAGAATCAGGGGCACAGTGATGCATGTTCTCTGTATGTTCTGAAGCGTGATAACACACCGACAGCCTGTCTCCCACACTGTCTGGAGAACTTTGGGGCTGGCAGGCAGAGGTTTCTCACAGATTGTGTTGACCACATGGCCGTTATTGCCCCCGCTCACTCCATGCCAACAACTGCCTGGTCTTTTCACTGCCCACTATCTGGGTAAGATTAGCATTGACACATTTCCTTTCTCTTTGTTTTTCCCCACCCCTCAATTCCCCTCACTCCCCCCCTCCCCCCACTATGCCCAGGATCATTGCTATTACCATGGTTACATCAAGGGAGAAGGAGGATCCTTGGCCAGCTTCAGCACGTGCGAGGGATTCAGGTAAGATGTACCTCACACCACGCCTTCCCATC